GAGACCAAGTATAGAGGGAAGGTTCCCTAGCATAAACTCGTAACATTAGATTCGAGATTGTCCCCTCAAAGTCACAAGTTCAATCCTTAACACTAGTGACTAGGCCGAGGATTAGCTAAATCATAGTACGATACAGCAATGAGACAGCAATCAACATCCATTGACAAAACCAATCAAATCCCGATACAAATAGACAACAAATTCAAAGTGCAAATCCATGAAATTAGATTCAAATTAAAAATACAGTACAATTACATCAAATTCAACCATCCAATTCCAAAAAAATTAGTTCCAAACTATCAGAATATTGTACAGTACATTGATTAACAATCAAAATCAAGCAACTCGAATATAGTAACCGCCTTCATTGTACCATCGATCACGATCAACAACAACGATTGCGTAAATTGCGTAGATCATTCCAGGAATATACCCTAATATCGTCAACAACACACAAATCCAGAATTCACACTGCAAAATTTCCAAATTCACAAAAACAAACACAACAATTAATCTGAGAAATTACAAAACCCTAATTCAATTTTGACTTCGATTCAATTCAATTTACTGATTGAAGTATAGATTGAAAAGAGGGAAGAACTTACACTGCAACAACCATGGCGGAAGAAGACGCCGAGAGGAGGAAGTAAGATTGCGATCAAGATTTCGCAGAACATCGCACATCTTCCCATTGTTACAGGAGGAGAGAGAAAGAGATGAGAGTTTTGTGGAGGAGAGAGAAAGAGAAGAGTTGAATATATTTGTCCTTAATGAGAAAGATACAGACAAATTAATAACGTGTATACGTGATTTATTAATGTAAATTGTGACAGTTTGAATTTGTTTTTGTTTTCATTTTTTGGGACTTTTAAATTTAAGCCAACTAGGCAACTAGTACTCGATAGTTAATTACCTCGAAATTTCACCACTATGATGACATTGATTAAATGAAAACTTGATAATTACCTTGAGTTAATAAAAAAAAACTAGGTACTCAACTTTGATGAATGTTGCAAATTGGGTATTCAAATTTGGGTCTTAGCAAATTGGGTACTATGATCTGTTTGAAATTGCTTTTTTCAGCCAATGACCTACCCACTAGAGGCTGTTATATACACCCGAATGTATATAACAAATTCTAGACCTACACTATCCGGTTACCAAGTATTTTTTTTTTTTTTTTAAAAAAAAAGGTTAAATACTTTCTAGTTCATAATGACTATCTTGTGAGCAGTAGTATCGAAGCAATTGGCTCATCTTCCTTCTTTCTTCCTCCATTATCAAATTCCCTTGCTCTAACCTTTTTTTTTTTTTTTTTTTTTTTTTTTGAGGAAATCCCTCGCTCTAACTTAACTCTAAACTTTATTTACTTCGAAATTCCCAAATTTCTGATTTCAAGCTTCTATTTCACTAATCTATAGTTATGACTTGATCATCTATTTTCTTTCTACATTTTCTAGAAATTAAACTTCTAAGCTTCTGCATTTGGGGTTGAATCTGGTTAGTTGTAGTTTTCCCTAATCTATGATCTAATTATAACTTATTTTTTCTAGTCTAATGTGAACTTTTTTTTTTATTATTTTTTTTCTAATCTGATCAATACTTATTTTTTGAAATAATTAAATATAGGTGAACTAAACATGGCCTAAGCTAGTTAAAAAATTTTAAGAGTTATATTATTCAATTTATCTTTTGTAATTAGGAAAATTTGTAAACATTAAGTCAACCTTTGTGTGATTAGCTCAAAATAAGTCAACCTTTTGACTAACTAAAAATAAGTCAATCTTTATATGATATCTTCCAAAAATGGGTCATGACTTGTTAGTTTTGGAGGTAACTAGTTGTTTAGGTTAAGTATGTCACATATCAAGATATGATTGTTATACATGACAGAGAGGCTGAGGAGAGGCTTCCTAGGGCAGAGAAAGTGAATGCTAATACACATAAAGGGAAGGGTAAACTCACTGCTGCAGATAAGGGTAAGGCTAAGGTTGGGGATGAGACTGGAAATTTTGCTAATTTAGTGAGAAAAATAAAAGAAAGAGTGAGGAGCTTAAGTGATGACAGTGATGTGTTTACTGATGAGGATGGTGATACAGAGTCTTCTGATTCTGAGTTGAGTGATTTTGAGTTAGAAGTTGATGAGGGAGAGGAGGACTTATACTCTGATGATGATGAACAGTGGTTGAAGAAAAATTTAGACCATATTAACAGTGAGGTGAAAGGAAGTTTGAGGGGAGTTACTGAAGGAGGGGATCAAAGTGATGATGAGGACACATGGTTTGACATAGAAAGAAATCTACAGAAAATTGAAGTGAGGGTTGAAGAGGAGGCAGCTTGTGATTCTGATGAGCTAAAGAGTGTGGAAGGTGATTCAGATGATGATCAGGGTAGTGTTACTTGGTTTAACCCTGAGACAGACTTTGAAAGGGCTATCAAATTTGTAGTTGGTCAAAGGTTCAGTGATGTGCAAACAATGAGAAAAGCTTTGAGACAACATGCAATTGAAAATAGGTATGAGTATTACCTTCTTCACAATGTTTCAAAGAGGTTAACAACATATTGAAAAGGAAATGCAAGTGTGTGTATAACAAGAACAGTTGTAGGATAGTGAAGTGTACATGTAGTAAGGGTGTTAGGTGTAGGTTCAAGTTTTATGCAACAAGGCTTGTGAAATCAGAGGCTTGGCAAATTAAGACATTAAGGCTGAAGCATAGGTGTGTTAGGAGTAAAATGAACAACAAGGTGACAGCAGAGTTCCTTGCTGACAGGTACTTGGAGGAGTTCAGGGGCAACCCCAGATGGAAGATTAAACAGATTCAGGACAGGGCCTTGAATGACTTGGGGATCAAAATTACATACTCCAAGGCTTGGTTGGCTAGAAGCAGGGCAAAGCTTATAATATATGGCTCTTCATCATAGAAATATTCAAAGGTTTGGGACTATGGGAAGGCACTGCTGAAATGGAACCCAGGGAGTGAGTGTAATGTGGTGGTGGATGATATTAATCAAATTGAAAGACCAATTTTTATGAGGATGTTTGTGTGCTTAGCTGCACTTAGGGATGGATTCATTTCTGGTTGCAGACCAGTAATTGGGGTGGATGGGTGCCATCTAAAAGGGGCATACCCTGGGCAGATCTTGGTTGCAGTTGGAAAAGATGGCAATAATGCCATCTTCCCAATTGCTTGGGCAACTGCAGAGATTGAGAACAAGGACAGCTGGTGCTGGTTTCTGGTGAGCTTGCTCAAGGCACTTTGCGTGTATGACCAAGGAGATGGCTTGACTTTTATGTCTAACAGACAGAAAGTAAGTGGGTTGTGTTTGTGTTTAAATTACTTTGCTTTATTTGAATTTTCTGTACACTAACTTGTTAGTTTTGCCTTGTGTGTAGGGTCTCATAGAAGCATTTGCAGATGTGGCCCCCAAAGCTGAGCTCAGATTTTGTGTGAGGCATATTTGGTCAAATTTCAAACTGAAATTTCATGGTGCAACTTTCAAGGAATTGTTCTGGCTGCTGCTAGGGCAAGCACTCTGGTAAGCTTCTATTTAGGTTCTTTTATGTCAGTTTTATGGTGAACTATAATGTCTGCTAGGAACATTTAGTTTTGCACATATTTGCATGTCTTTCTATTTTGTGAAAACTGTATGCCATGTGTCTATGTTGTGTTGAATGGTTGTCATGTGTGTGGTTGTATCAGTTTGAGTTTGAAGTTGCTATGGAAAGTATCAATTTTTTGGATGAAGAAGCATACCAGTGGCTGTCAAACATTGACCCCCAGCACTGGTCAAGGCATGCTTTCTCTACAAACTGCAAGTCTAACATGTTGTTAAACAACATGTGTGAGACATTTAATGCAGTGATTAGAGATGCCAGAGACAAGCCTATTCTAACTCAAATGGAATGGCTTAGAAGATATATGATGAAGAGGAGTAATGACAAATGGGAGGCAGCAAAGTCTTGGGAAGGTTTACTAACCCCATTTGTCAACAAAGTCTTTGATGGGTTGGAGAAGTATGCCATGACATGTGAGGTTACAGCTTCAAGGGATGAAATTTATGAGGTGAAATACAAGGATGATCAGTGCATTGTGGATCTACAAGAGAGAAAATGCACTTGTTATAGATGGGAGTTGACAGGAATACCTTGTGTCCATGCATTTGCTTGCATAATGGACAAAAGGGATGATCCTGAGTTGTATGTGCACCCACATTACTATAGGGTGACATACTTGGCTGCATATGAGAACCCAATACAGCCAATGCCTGGCCCTAAGAATTGGGAAAAGGTCAAGCTCAGACAGCCTTTGCCACCTATGCTGAAAGTGCAGCCAGGAAGACCTAAGGCAAAAAAGAGAAAGCTTGAACCAGGGGAGGGCACTTCTGCAGCACCTGAGGGCAAGAAGCCAAAGGTGAAGAAACAATGCAAGAACTGTGGTGGGTTTGGCCACTTTGCCAAAACATGCAAGGCAGAAGCAGCACCAGAACAGCCTAACCCACCTGCAACAAATCTAAAGGGTGGGAGGCCACAGATGCAGACTCCTTGGCTTAAGGAACAGAGAAAGAAAAGTGAAGAGAAAGCAGCAAGACAGGTATTTTGTGTATTTTGTGACTTGAGTGTATTTAGTGGCTTTGTTTCTGAGTCTTGTTATACTGTGATTGCAGGCTGCACTGAAGTTGCCACAATATCAGCCTCCAACAACAGCACAGGCTGGGTCAAGTAATGCTGCACCTGCAACTGCTGTGACAAGCCAGCCTGCAAAAAGAACAAAGCCTTTGCCAACTCAGCCTGTTACCAGGAGCAACAGGAGCCTGAGTCAGCCCACAAGAGTGCCAACAACTACTCCTCCCAAAGTCAAAATACAGACCAGGTCCAAGCTTCATGTAATGACAAGCAAGAAGGACAAGGATCTCAATCAACTGTGACCCTAGGCCTACTCATTAGTATTTTGTAATAGTCAACCAAGTTTATTTGGTAGTTGAACAATGATAGCTGAACAATGATTTTGCACAAAGGTGCCTTAACTTTTGTCTCAGCCAATGTAAAACAATTAAAAACATTGTGTTGCAAGTACTAATACGAAATGTGATATGTTTCTACCAAAAAGTTCCATTTCTCATTGATTTAGTTAAAAGTAGTACAAGAAATGTCATCCCAACATCCACACATAATAATTCAACAAAACACAACATAAGGTGGGGATTTTTTTTGTTTCTAAGCATTCCTAAATGAACCTAAGATCTAAAATACATAGCCAGTACCAAACCAAAACAACAAAACACAACAATAGCATGTATTGTGAGCATTTTCTTTGTTGTTGCATTGCTGCCATGCACTTCCTTGATCATCTTCTTCCTGTCTGAGCTAAGAGCTTTGCATTTCATCTTCAAGCTGTCAATCTCATTGAGCAAGCACCTCCTTTGTCCACTAACATCATCAACTTCCCTCTTCATGTCATTCAGCTCTCCCTTCATTAGTTTCTTGTCCAGCAGCAAGTTGTTAATCACCTCTGTTTGCCAAGGTGTTCCATCTGGTTGATCCACCCACTCAAAAGCTTTACACCCCCTTGACTCAGTCACAAGATCATAGAATTTGCAGGTCCTAAACTTGTGTCCAGGGTTCTCCCTAGTCCAAGCAGTCAGCCTAGACATTGGAACTCCACATTGGCATTTTTTCTCCTTTGAGGGTGACATGCTAACTGAAGACATTCCCTTCTGAAATTCAGTAAGAACAAGAATGAAATTAATTGTATTTGAACACAATCACCATAATATAACCCTAATTTCAGTAGCCAATTCACATAACAAAAACCCCCAATCTAATTTAATCTTACATGAACCCTAAGTATTTTAACTGAAATTGGGGTTTAATTGACCTCACAAAACGCCCAATTTCAATTACTCTTAGCAAATGCAACATAATCACGCAACGAATTGCCAAAAAATTACAACAGAAATCACGAAAATTGCTAGAGAATTAACGACAATGGCTTACCTTTTTGATGCTTGTTGTCGAGGAGTTCAATTGATTGTTTGATAATTAGAGGGTTTGGGATTGTTAAGGTTGCCTAAAAATACTGATTTGTGAAGAAAATCGCAAAAATTAATCTCCAATCTGCAAGAATTTGGTGTACAAATGAAGAACTAGGTTTAAATAAAAGGGAAATCGAGAGAAATTTGGGAAAAAAATCAAAAACTAGCCGTTATGCTGGGCCCCACAAGCGTTTTCCGTCACCTGAGCTCAGATGAGGTGGTAAAACTGATGTTTAATTTTTTTATGAGGTGGTAAAGTAAATGTTTTTTTTTGGAGGTGGTAAATTCGACAAAGTCATTTTTTGAAGGTGGTAAAAATGAAAATTTCCTTAAAATTAACTTTTTGATTAAATTATATAAATTATTTTAACAAAAATCCCTCACCACCCAATGTTGAACAACTCCCACCCTCTCACGCCGGTGACAATACTCTATCCGAGCCACCATCGATCATCCCCCCACCCATTAGTTACCACTGACCCCTTTATCTCTCTCTCTCTCTCTCTCTCTCTCTCTCTTTCTCTCCTTCCTCTCCCACCACCACCTTTGCTCCTCTACTCTCTATTTTTTTTTTTCGAATTTTCGGGGTGGGTGTTTTCAGGTGAGTGTTGAGTATTTCGGGGTGGTTGGAGTGAGTTTCAGTGGTTAAGGTTTAGTTTCGGGGTAGATATAGTGATGCATTGGTAGTTAGGGTGAGGATTCGAGGTGGGAAGGTGGATTTTGTTGCGGGTCTGTGGTTTTGGGTTGGTCTGTGCGGTGGTTGGTGGGGGTAGGGATGGTGATGGTGATGGGGGGCTGGTTAGAAAAAGGTCAGAAAAGGGTGGTTTTGTTTATAAAGTTTTTCTTAGTACTCGTATTTAATTGAAATAAATAATTTTTAATATTCTACTCATATTTGATAGGTTGTAGGTCATTTAACCTAAGTAGATAGACTAGATACCCCTTATGAGGTGTTTGATATGAGGGATATGAATAAGGAGGATAAAAGGGTGGGATAAGTTTTGAGGATTAGCAAGTGGTATAAGGATAAAAAAGAGGTTGTCCTTTTTTTTTGTCCTCTTCCTTTATTCTTTATTTCATTAAGGGTAAAAATGTATTTTACCTCCTTTATTTTGTCCTTAACCCTTATATCTAGGGCTGAGCAAAATTATCCAAAAAACCGAAAACCCAGAAAATCGAACCGTAATCGAACCGAAAATTAGGGTACCCGTTTCGATAACCATAACGGTTCGGGTACCCGATCCGATAATTTGTTATCGGGTATGGTTATTGGGTATCATTTTAAAATTAACGGTTACCCGATCCGATCCGATAAGCAATTTTTTCTTTTTTTTTTTCCTACTTAAATCTATTTATCCAAAATCTAAACTTTTACTTTTCTTCGTAATCACCTCATAGTTTAAATGATTAGTAATTATTAGTAAGTTGGTCATGATCATGTGGTATTATTGTTGATTAGTGTTGAATGATATCATAATAACTATATTATAAAGTCAAAATTTTTATTATTGGATATCATATTGGGCACCCGATAACCATTTTGAAAATCTGGGTACCCAAAGTTCGGGTAATGGATATCATTTTTAGTGTTATTGATTATCGGGTACCCCAACCGATAGTGTTAACTGTGCGGGTACCCGTCCCATGCTCACCCCTACTTATATCACATTCTTTAGTTATTATTTTAGAGGGATAACTTGTATTTTTATCCTTATCCCTCTTTCCTATGTTATCCCTATCCCCCTAAACAAACAAGATAATATTTGAATCCCTTTACTATTATTCCTATCCTCGTCTTTCTATCCCTCCAAACAAACACCTTTTTAAAATACAACTTATTGTTAGTTAATTGAAAAGTTGACTTATTTAAAACAAATCGCAAAAAGATTAACTTTGATAGAATTATACATAGTATAAGACTATTTGATAGAATTATATGTAGTATAAGACTATAAATACTGGCAATAAAAAAAGTGATTTATCTCAAAAAATACTTAACGCTCTCAATACGTTCTCCACTGAAGCGGACGGCGCCTTCTAATCCCCCATTGAAGAGGCAGCTTGTGAGTTAACTTCTTGTTTCTTTTTGTAGTCATCATATCAATTTCATAATCTAGAGTTTATGTTTTATCTAATTCAATTTAATTGTCAATGTAAGTTTAGGGTTCGTAATCTCAACTATTTTTGATGTTTGAATCAAATTTCCCTGTGAATTTCGACCCTTATTTGATAATTGAATCAAATATCCCTTAAAATATGTTATTTTTCGAGCATAATTTGATAATTGAATCAAATAACCCTAAAAATATGTGCTTTTCGAGCCTTAAATTGACAATTGAATAAAAATATGTGATTTTTCGAGCCTGAATTGATAATCGAATCAAATATCCCTGAGCCTTATTTGACAATTGAATCAAATTTGGTTGGTAATGTATTAATAGGTAATTTGCTAGGCGGCTGGTTTGGTTGAATCTCTATAATGTTTATATATCACGATTATTTGTATGAATGAGATGGAAGTGTGAGTTTTAGAATTCGTTTCTAATTTCAGAATCTGTTCGTGCAGAATTTCATATGAGGACGAATAGAAGTTTAAGTATAGTAATAAGACCAGGCATCAGAGCTGAATCATGGTCAATCGACGAACATTCTAGTGATGACCAGAGGCCAGTCGATGATTTCTTCACCATCATCTTACGGTATTGCAACCGTGTCGACAATGTTACTGGGACATTAAAGTTGAAGAGAGAAAGCTCTGATTGGCAATTTGATGTCATGGGTTGGCTCGCTCATCTTAATGTTGATGTCAATGCTTGGGATGCTATCATTGATATTGTGGGCGAAAGTTGTGAGAGTTTGATAACTGATGTTCGCGAATCTGGTCGCACGTCTCTTGTTTTTAGAATTATGGTTTGCCAATATGAAGAGTGGGAGGAAGAGTACCACGATTACGAGCTCATGTATCTTGGTATTGAACAGGATTCCGAAACTGAAGAGGAAGAGGACTACGAGCCCATGCATCCTGATAATCTTGATACCGACTGGATTGAACAGGATACCGAACCCATGTATTGTGATCCTGATCGCATAAAATCTATTCTACAGGATGGTGGAGTCAAGTTTGCTAACGGCGGCCATTCAGGAACTATTAGTAATTGCTCGATATGTTTAGAGGAGTTTGGGATGTCAAACAATGTGGCCACTCTTCCTTGCTCTCATATCTATCACGAACAATGCATGATTCGTTGGGCTTTTCAAGGAAAACGAACGTGTCCATTATGTAGATTGGAGATAAAATTGAATTTCATTGGGAAGACTCTGTGATTTGATGTCATGTGTGTTAGGTCTTGCTTGTAAGTTAGTTTATTTAAGACCTATAAACTCTCAGGATTATGGAATTGATCAACAGTTTTTTACTAATATATGTATTCTCTCTTATTCTTGAATTGCTACAATTTGACAAATTTGGATTATGTCGTGGTAAATTATAACTTGTAGGCTTGTAGCTACTGTTGACACTTTCGAACTCAACTTATATGCAACCTCGATACATCTAAGGTGTTGGGCATAATTTGGGAGTAATGTATCCACCTACATCATCCTCCAAATACTCCGATACTATACACTCTATGAGTGTCCCTCATACATATCAATATATCATACACACACAATTTCCCTAATCCACTATCCTTATTTTGTACTACTCTATTGTGAGTTCCTATGGTGAGATTTCTCTTGTAACACTCACCCTAACAATAACAAGTTATATAAATGTATGTAAGATGATCACTTGATCAGCAAAGAACAAATCAGAATAATTATTAGACAGACAGCATGTATTTAATAAAGCTGTTTAAAATTGTAAAATGATTGCTTAATTCCACATGTAATAGGGCCTTACGAAGAGGTAGAAAAACAAAGATTCCAACTCGATCGGTAGATCACCGGTAAATTAATCCATCATGGATCAGTCGGAATAGTCAAAGCTTTGTTTCGAGACCAAGTATAGAGGGAAGGTTCCCTAGCAAAAGTACTCGTATTATACGGAGTATCATATTCATGTCCTCTTTATCTTTATCTTTTTTTTTTTTTTTCTCAGGTAAGTTCAAAGAAAAAAAAAGATAAGGTTAATAAGTTAAGAGAAGATAAATACGGGACTAATAATACGGAGTACGAGTATAAGATAATACTTTAAAATTTATGTTAAAAATCAATAAAAATAAGTTCAAAGAAAAAAGAAGGTAAGGTTAATAAGTTAAGAGAAGATAAATACGGGACTAATAATACGGAGTACGAGTATAAGATAAAAATCACTAATAAAAATATTTTCAATTAAAACCATTGAGGCTACGAGATTTCTTGCTTTACATAATAACAAGGTTGTAAGCTGGTATATGTTCTGTGACATATAACGTACACGATTGTAAGATGTATCTCTTCACAGTTGTGACTTTTGCACCTTTCTTGAACAATTGGCAATGAATTGCAACATAACTCAGTAAACAATCAATTCATTAATGACAAGCCAGCCTGCAACAAGAACAGAGCCTTTGCCAACTCAGCCTGTTACCAGGAGCAACAGGAGCCTGAGTCAGCCCACAAGAGTGCCAACAACTACTCCTCCCAAAGTCAAAATACAGACCAGGTCCAAGCTTCATGTAATGACAAGCAAGAAGGACAAGGATCTCAATCAACTGTGACCCTAGGCCTACTCATTAGTATTTTGTAATAGTCAACCAAGTTTATTTGGTAGTTGAACAATGATAGCTGAACAATGATTTTGCACAAAGGTGCCTTAACTTTTGTCTCAGCCAATGTAAAACAATTAAAAACATTGTGTTGCAAGTACTAATACGAAATGTGATATGTTTCTACCAAAAAGTTCCATTTCTCATTGATTTAGTTAAAAGTAGTACAAGAAATGTCATCCCAACATCCACACATAATAATTCAACAAAACACAACATAAGGTGGGGATTTTTTTTGTTTCTAAGCATTCCTAAATGAACCTAAGATCTAAAATACATAGCCAGTACCAAACCAAAACAACAAAACACAACAATAGCATGTACTGTGAGCATTTTCTTTGTTGTTGCATTGCTGCCATGCACTTCCTTGATCATCTTCTTCCTGTCTGAGCTAAGAGCTTTGC